AAGTGATCCAAATACATAGTATCCGTTATCCAATTGATGTTTACAGTAATACTGTATTCAACATATCCTAAAATAATAAAAAAAAAAAAAAAAGCATCTGGATTGGAGGGTTCAATCCGAATTTTTTTTTTAATCTTTTTTTGATAATTTAAATAGTTTACATTTTAAAGATTATTGAGTATATTATTCTTCTTGTAAAAAATCATATTGATCGGATAATAAATACTATGTATTCGGATCATTTTTTTATGAACCATTAATTTTATGACTGTCTATTTTTTTTTGACAAAAGTGATCCAAATACATAGTATCCGTTATCCAATTGATGTTTACAGTAATACTGTATTCAACATATCCTAAAATGTGAACGGTTCGGATTATCGAAAAAGGGTCCAAAAATGGACCCAATGAGCCGAACTAGACCAGACTGTCCCAGATCTAAACTAGATACCGTCTAGGAAATTTTCCATCTATAAAGTAGGTGTAGATATATTTTACTTTTTAATATATTTATATTTGATAGATTTAATATCGATAGTCACTTGTTAACAAAAATATATTTTGATCAAGTGACTATCAATATTTGATTAATATGATTTTTTCATGAATGGAATACTCGACGAGTTTTACATTTTCAACCGTTCGAATTATCAAAATTGGATGCATAGTAAACTTTATAGACTCAAACAAAACTGTCCACTCTATTTTGTGAACCGAAGACAATTTGAATCTAACAGTGAAATCACATAACAATATCATTAACCAATTAAGAATCTCGTATTTCAACAATGAAGATTAGGTGATTAGATTAGTGGGAGACATGAATGTCCATCTAATCTCTTTTGCTATTTTATTGACTGGTGACATGAAGTAATATTGTATCACTATTTTATTTAATATTTAATTAATAAAAAAATCTCTAAAATAAATTAAATAAACACAAAATGTAAACTAAAAACATTAATTTTATCCCTAGTTAAAATACTCCTCCATTCTTTTACGAAAAATGATATATAAATCTACTTTCTAGACTTATTTTTTAAACCTAATGATGTGTAAGTTATATAATTGATTGATGATTGAGAAGATATAAGAGAAAATATTATTTTAAATATTCTAATTAATTATCACATAATTAAATTTGAAAATTGAATGTAATTTTTGAACTTGTACAATAATGTCATACAAGTCCTTTTATTTGCAAACCAAACATACCTTATGGAGACAAAAGCCAAGGAAAATAAAAATCAAACAAAATCGTACCTAAAAAATTTAAGAGAGACAAGATACGCACAAAACTACTTAATACAATTGATGAGGAGGCACAATAAAGAAGGAAACACATGAGGAAGTATTACAAATAAATGAAAAAGGAAATCAATCTCAATCTCTTTCAAGCCAGATTTCAGTGGATATAAAAATAATCAAAATCTCAGTACTTCCCACTTGTTTGGCTCTGCTCACTTGCCAGCTATGAATCTCTCTTGCGCGTTTGCTAGGTCAATTAAATCTATGATTATGCCACATGTACAATCTAGTCCTTTAACCATTTTAAAACCCATAATACCTTTTAGTTGTACATTGCACCTCTTTACACTGTTCACTTAAAGGGGTAGTTTGAAATGTTTTAAATAAATATATTTTTTAAATTTTTTAAAAATATAGATTGAATATGGATTGGGTTTGAAGTGACGTGATAGAAAGGTGATGTGACTTAAATGAGATAGTAATTTTTTGATTTGACTTTTTTAATATATGCCAAACAAGGCCTAAGTGGCTTAAACGTTTTCATTACTACTGCTGCTATAACTCTTTCATTTTTTTTTTCTTGAATTAATTTCACTTTTATTTAATAAATTATAGATAGACTGATGGGAGTTGATAAGGGTGACTGCCAACTTGAAATTTTGAAAAAACTACTTAAATATAGTAGTATTAATTATCAATATTTATAAATTATATAAATTTGTCCCTCCAAGATTTTTTTCAAAAATTTAGTAGTTGTCTTCTTAAAATTTCTTTAATTCAGTTTGCATTTTCAAGTTTCATTACTGACCATTCAAATCTAGGTATTTTTCTTTTTCTCCCTACTTTCCTTTTTTTTTTTTTTTTTTTATCGGTTCTTCCTGTTATCTTCTTGTTCTTTTTTGCATTGATTTTTTCTTTTATTTTTTTGTTATTTCAATAATCTCTTCAACTCAATCACCATATTCAAATTTTCTTCCTCTTTTTATGAGTTTAAGTTTTGGAACAATCACTTTGTGCACTATATCAAATATTAGCCCATCTTTCTCCTCCTAAACATATATAATGTGTACTATTTATGTATAGTTTTTTAACCAACTCTATTTGATGATATTTAAGACTTGATTTGATTTTATTTGATTTGGTTCTCCATCTCTATTTCAAAGTTTCTTCTACTTTCAGTTCTTCCACTTCTTTCTTGTTCTCCATTACAGTTCTCTCTTTCTTATTTTCTTTTCTTCTTCTTCTTCTAATAAATGCCCTTAATTTAATATTAACTTTTTGAATATCAATATTCAAATTGCAAAAGATTGCACCAATCACGACTCTCATATTTGTTGGCTTTATTGTAAATTTGTGATGGTCATTTTTTTCATATTAATAGAGTTTCTGGTAATTTAAGCTATTCAAAGATGCTATCAATGTCGATATAGAAATTAAAAAAAGAAAAAGAAAAAATTATAATTAGTGTTACTGTCAAAATTAATTATAGCTTTATAAAAAAATTTAAAATTTTAATTATTAACATTTGTCAAATTTATCATTAAATGTAATTTTCTAAAAATATATAAAATGTGTAAAAATAAGGTTTGCTTAGAAGTGACTTTTTAATTAAAATATAAGTTAAAAGCATAAAAAATATTTGAGAATTACTTTTTTAACCTTTAAAAAATAAAGAAAAAAAAAATTATATATCTTTTTGGCTTTTTAACTTCTTAATAATTTCTCAATTAAAATATAATATTGTCAAACAAGAAGTAGATAAGATTATTTGAGGATATATATACGGGTGTTTGGTAGGGCTTTTTTGAGCCAATTTATGACTTCTATCTTGTAAAAAATTATTTTAAACTGTTTGGTTAAACTTATTTCAAACAGCTTCTGATTCTAACAACTTATTTTAAGTCAAAAAAACTGATTCTGATAAGCTGCTTACCCCTTGCTTCTGATTATTAGCTTCTGCTGTGGATATGTTAATTCACAGTTATACTCTTAAATTTTTTTATTTTTTATTTTTTTAAAATAGAAAAAAACCTACAATCTAGCCCTTTAACCATTTTAAAACCCATAAAACCTTTTAGTTGTACATTGCACCTCTTTACACTGTTCATTTAAAGGGGTAGTTTGAAATGTTTTAAATAAATATATTTTTTAAATTTTTTTAAAATATAGATTGAATATGGATTGGGTTTGAAGTGACGTGATAGAAAGGTGATGTGACTTAAATGAGATAGTAATTTTTTGATTTGACTTTTTTAATATATGCCAAACAAGGCCTAAGTGGCTTAAACGTTTTCATTACTACTGCTGCTATAACTCTTTCATTTTTTTTTTCTTGAATTAATTTCACTTTTATTTAATAAATTATTATATTATTAATTTTATTCTTAAATTATCAAAAATCATAAAATCCTTAATTTGATAGGTAAATATATAATTTTAAAATTTAGATAATATAAATCATACAACTAAACACCCATTAAATTAGGTGTAGTTATGAGTTGGTCTTGTGGACTAAATTTTTTTATTTAACTTTCAGTGTAAATTATTTTTAAAAAATACATTTCAACTAGGCTCACTTCCAATATCATATTTCAATACACAACTGAAGTAAATTAAAAACAAATCAAAATTCGTAAGCAAAAAATAAAATGTCTAAATTATTTATTATTTTAATGAATTTATCAATATCATTATCAATATATCAAATGATCCCAAAAAATTTTAATTATCAAAATGAGAGGCAAATACGTTAAAGAAAAAACTTAGAATTTGTGAGTAAATAAATCCAATCAATACATGTTCAAAAAAGAAATAAATAAATCTAATCAATAGGACTTACTAAGTAATAATCCCTTAAATTCTTAGTGATGGAAGTGCAATTTATTCAAAATAGTAAAAAAAAATAAAATGAATGTTTTATTGTATCATTTAAATTATTTAAAAGGAAAAATAGTGAAATGTCTATTCTTAACTTTGGATAGTAGGAGGATCCAATATGTTTTTATTTATTTATTAAGGTCTCTCAACAATATTATTAAACAAATTTTAACTTGTCACAAAGAAATTTATCCATAAAAATATTGAGGGACCCTATTTATTATGAAAAATTACATATGATTTATTTTATAAAATTCTAATATTAGGAAATCTCTATTTAAAATTCAATTTTTTTTAATATAAAATTAGGTTTCCACGAATATTAATTATAATTTGATCACATAAACATAAATTAAAACTTGACAAACCACGTAAACAAAATTGAAATGAAAAAATTGTATTAATTTAAGGGGTAAAAACGAATTTAATTAAAGGTCCAGCTTGTCTCAAGACTGGACCTGTCCAGTCCGGTCCATGGGGCTCTTTTCTCGTCCGTTTTGATAATCTGAACCGTGAAATGTGCAGAACTCATCGAGTACTATATATTTATAAAAAATCACGTTGATCGGATATCAATAACTTTGTGATTAAATCAGTTTTGTATTTAAAAAAATGAAGGGTGAAAAAATTAACGGTTAATAAAAAACTGTTTTGTTCACATAGCTATCGATATTCGATCAAAATGATTTTTTACAGGCATATAATACTCGACGAGTTTTACACATTGAACGATTTAAATTATCAAAATAAAATTCATGATAAATCCTTACGGACTCAACAACACGGTCTAGTCCGATCTTGACATGGACCAAAGCCACTGCCTTTAATTAATTAAGTATTTTGCTTTTTCCCTTACAACTTTTTGTGTCCCTCGTGATACCACGCTTCTCCCTTTACAAAAACACACTACCCCTCATCCCCCCGCTCTCTCTCTCAATCTCTCTCTCTCTCTCTCTCTCTCTCTCATGGCTTGTCGCCGGAAAATCACTTCTGGGTCCGTCCAAAGTCGCCACCACAGACAACCATCACCACCACTTCAAGCCCACAACTAAGCCCAACAAAACCCATTCTCCCATTATAAAAATACAAAAAACCAAAATCAATGGAATACAAGTTTGTTGTTACTGGTTTCTGGGTTGTTCTTCTTGTGTTGTTGGCGTTACTGAGTCACCGAGTCGACTCTGAGCCGACTCAGGACAAGCAAGCTCTCCTTGCATTCATTTCTCAAATCCCTCACGCCAATCGCCTCCAATGGAACGCCTCCGACTCGGCCTGCAACTGGGTCGGCGTCGTCTGCGACTCGAATCGCTCCTTCGTCTTCTCTCTCCGCCTTCCCGCCGCCGGACTCGTGGGTCAGATTCCGGCCAACACGATCGGAAATCTGGCCCAACTCCGAATCCTTAGCCTCCGTGCCAATCGTCTTTCCGGCCAAATTCCCTCCGATTTCTCCAATCTCAAGCTCCTCCGAAGCCTCTATCTACAGAATAACAAATTCTCTGGCGAGTTTCCGGCGAGTATCCCCGTGTTAACTCGGTTGAACCGTTTAGATCTCTCTAACAACAACTTCACTGGTTCAATTCCATATTCTATCAACAATCTGACCCAGTTGTCTGGTCTTTTGTTGGAGAACAATGGCTTCACTGGTACTCTCCCAAGCATCAGCAATTTAAGCTTGGTAAACTTCAATGTCTCTTACAATCGTCTCAACGGTTCAATCCCTGCGTCTCTGTCGAAATTCCCGGCGAGCTCATTCGCCGGAAACCTCGCTCTCTGCGGCGGACCATTGCCACCTTGCAACCCATTCTTCCCCTCACCATCCCCATCACCATCTTCAATTCCACTACCGCACCAAAACCCACCACCAAAAAACCCCAAAAAGCTCTCAAAAGCCGCCATTATCGGTATCTCAGTCGGATCAGTAGTGCTTCTCCTTGTACTGCTCCTAATTCTCATCCTCTGTTTACGAAAGAGCAGGGGAAAGGCGGCGAAAACCCAGAAACCACCGGCTACGGCGCGCTCAGCGGCGGTGGCGGAGGCAGGGACGTCGTCGTCGAAGGATGACATTACAGGTGGGTCAGGAGAAGGAGAGAGAAACAAGCTAGTGTTCTTCGGAGGTGGGATTTATAGCTTCGATTTGGAGGATCTGCTGAGGGCTTCGGCGGAGGTGTTGGGGAAAGGGAGTGTAGGGACGTCGTACAAGGCGGTGCTGGAGGAAGGGACGACGGTGGTGGTGAAGAGATTGAAAGATGTGGTGGTCAATAAGAAAGAATTCGAAATGCACTTGGATGCTTTGGGGAAGATCAAGCATGATAATGTCGTGCCTCTCAGAGCTTATTATTATTCTAAAGATGAGAAATTGCTTCTCTCTGATTACATGTCTGCTGGTAGCTTGTCTGCTCTTCTTCATGGTAATTTTCTCTCCTTTCTCTCTCTCTCTCTCATATACATATATACAAGTAAAAAAAATAAAATATTTCACTTTTTGATTCTGAATTTTGGAAAATGCATGAGACCCCCAGTGGGGTACTGGGGGTCTCTCCTGATTGGTCCAAAATAATTTTTTTTTTTTTTTTTTTTTTTTTTTTTTTTTTTCTCTCCTTTCCCCCCCCCCCACAAAAAAAAAATTTTTCCCTGTTTTTTTTTTTTTTTTTTTTTTGCAGGAACAGATTGGGTTAGGTGAGATCTATGTTGTTGGAGGTAACATTCTCTTATTTCATAAATTTATTTGTTTTTTAATTTTATTTTTTTCATGTATGATTCTCTTTCTCTTCTGTTGGTTTTGGTTTTGGTTTTAGTAAGGTTTATGTGTTTGTTTATAGGTTAGAATGGTGGAGAAGAATTATTGGTAATTATGGTTACAATCGAAGTATCTATGTTCGGTCTATGCTAAGGATTTTAATAGGAATTTGTTTTCTTCAATATTTTTTTTGATATTGTAGTAAAAAAAAAAATGATTATAACGTGGATTGTACTAAAAACTGCACCGACTGAGATACAAAGTTGCCAAAATTTTCTACTGCCACAATCAATTCAATCACATCTTTTAACAACTGAAAATTACATATGAGGCATAATTAAAATTCAAGCTTAATTATGGTAGCTTTAATTAGATTTTACATTTTATCATTTTGCCTTGTATTGCAAATGATAGTTTTGTCAAATACTTTCTCATATTTTCTAATAGAAAAAAATAATAATAAAAAATAAAAAATAAAAAAAAAATGAGAGGGTAGGAAACCCTTACCCATGGTTCTAAGAAGTACGGTCATTTAATTGTAGGGGTAAACTCAAAATTTAGAAGCCACTCGAAACGGGGTTAAACTCAAACTCCTAGATAGAATCCTCAAATGTAACATTATTGTATAGGATAATGATAAATTATTTTATTATAATTTGAGCGTCATTAGTATGGGATTGTTTTAAGGAGTAGATTAAAAGTTACTTTTTTATTAAAAAAAAAAAAGTTAAAAAAAGCTAAATAGCTAATTTTTTATTGCCTTCTTAAAATACGTGAACTAAAAGAGGTTAAAAGTTTAAAAAAAAAAAAAAACTTTTAATCGCTTTTCAAAAGAGGGTGATATCATATGTGTTTTCTTTTTTTTGTTCGGAAAAAACTATTATATATCTGATAATTACAGGAAAAAGAAGTGACATAATTTTATTTTTTTAAAATTATAATTAAAAAAAAGACATAATCAAACACACACACAAAAAAATCATAGTTAAATATTTTAAAATAATATGATAATTAAAGAAAAAAATAACGTAACAAAGGTATGTATGGTATGTAAATGTTTATAATAGAATTCTTCTTTTTATTAATTATTTTGGTAAAATCATTAATGTTTATGTTAAAAATTATTATTTTAATTTTTTATAAATAAATATAAAAAATAAAAAAATAATTTACTTTTTAATGTTTTTGACTTTTTAACTATTTCATAGATTCTAAGCTTACCTTAAATGCTAACAAGCGCAGAATGCGCATGTTTATTAGGAAAGTGATTACAAAGATCCTTTCACATTTATTTAAAATATAAATTATTCTTTGTAATTTTAAAAATTATAAATTTTTAATTTCATAATAAACAATTTATTTATTAATAAATTATTAAGATAATTTATAATTTTTTTAATAATGTTAAAATTTTATTTCAATTAATAATTCAAAAAAAATTATTATTATATATTAAAATAATTAGAAATTTTATTTTTCAATTAAATAAAAAAATTTGATAAGGGAGTTCTTTTCAAAACTTGAGGGGTTGTTAGTATTTTAAACAAATCTTCAAGGGGTGTTTGTAATTTATCTTATTTTTTTTAACAACCAATTATATTTAGTTTCTTATATTTTTAAGATTTTCAATAAAATTATTAATATTTATAAAAATTCGATTTTGTTAATTTTAAAAATATAATACTTGCACATTTTATAAGGAGATTGTTTACTCAATTTTTATAATTGAGATGGTCAAATGTAGCTATATGAAGGAATAAAACGATATTTTGTAATAATTGAGAGGATCTCATTATAATTAATTTAAATGTTACAAAATATATAAGGGAGTTGTTATTCATATTGTACTTTACTTCAAATACACTTCTTTATTTGTCTTATTATAGTAATACCTTTTGAATTTTAGTTTGTTTAGTTTTTTCAAGAAGTATATTTTATGTGAAAAAGTATTACTGTAACTATATATAATAAAGGATAACAAAATATATATTTAGAATAAAATAGAGTAAAAATAGAAGTTGTATATATAGGGTAATAATATGCAAATACATTATTTTTGTGATATTTTCGTATGAATGAAGTTTTATAATTATGAATGCTTGGAGTGGAACCAGATAACGATTTACAGTAAATGTATTTATTTATTTTTTGTGTTTTATTTTAATCTTTTTGTTGCAATATATATTGTAAAACATATTTGTTATGTAACACATAAAACACAATATTAATGAAAGCATCACAAAAGTACTCGCGAATAAAATTTAAATATCTATTTTTTTGTAAATTAAAATTTCTTTATTATTTAATTTTAAATATATTTTAAAAATTTTATTCAATTGCAGAGATTTTTTGCTAGTGCACATAACAGTAAGTGTCCGTTTGTTTTTGGGTGTTGAGGGTGGAATGGGATTAGGATGGAGGTGTGATCTATTTAGTATTGTGTTTGTTTATAGAGTTGGAGAATGGATTGAGATGGAAGAGGGGATGGTTGGAAGGGAGATTGGGATGGAGTAAGTGGAGGTGATATTAGAAAAATAGTCTGCGGGACTAGAAATTTTTTATTTTTTATATGTTGAGCATTTTTTTTTAACATTTAATGTTTAATTTTTTGTATTTTTTTATTATTTTATATAAAAAATAATTTAACAATTCTTATGCTAACAACTATCATTAAAACAAATACAATTTTACTTAATTCCTTCACTAATGATCTCCTCACTATTAATTCTCTCTATTCTACCTCTGAAAACAAACAGGACTTTGACATCCTTAGGGCATCCACAATGGGATGGCTAAAAAAGTGTATTAAGGTGTGTGTTATATGACAAAAAGTAATAAAAGTGGGGTCCAAAAATGTTTGTTAAGATGTGTTAAGAGTTTGTTAATTTTAAAGAGTGAGTGATGATGCAATGGATATGTTAAGGTGTGTGTTAAGGTGTGTATTAAATATATATATATATATGTGTGTGTATGTAATAAATAAAATAAATAAATAATTTAGTTTAATAAAAAACAAGCCCAAAATTAAATTTCAAGTCCAAAAAAAAAAAATCCCAAAAAAAAAAAAAAAAAAAAATTTGCCGTTGACCGGTCAACCAGCCGGTCAACCCCTAAGACAAAAAAACACTTCCCTTCCCAGCTAGAACGCCCGCTGCAACGCTCTCCGCAGATAACAAACAAGTTAACAACTAGCCCTAACACACACGTTAACACGTCCGTTGTGAGATCCAAACGTTACTGTAGCTAGCTAAACTTTGGCCACTGACACTAACACACTAACACGTCCATTGTGAATGCTCTTACAAATATATGTTTTTTATCTTTTATCTTTTATCTTTTTTATGTCATATCACATTTATTTTTATTTATTTTTGTATATTTTATCATAAAATGTTAAAAAAATATATTTATTATTTGGAATCCCCTATAAATATATATATATATATATTTTTATTTTTTTATTTTTTTATTTTTTTAAATCAAATCACTTTTTATATTTTTTACATTTTTCGTAAAAAAAATAAAAAATTATAATTATTTAAATCATCTAAACACCCTCTTAAATCATCCCAAACACCCTCTCCAACTACTGACACGCTTTAAGTACCTTTTCAATGATTGAAAAAAAGAGTCCTAACAACACAACACTATTGTTAAAAAAAGAAAAACACAACTCTTCTTTTATTGCCTAGGCTTTTGTTGATTGTTATTATGCCCCATCAGAATTTTTTACGTCTCCCAAACTATCCATCAACCTCACAATCGAAACACCTTTTTTTCTGAAAAAATGAATGGTAAATTTTAAAAATAATACATGTTATTCATTTTGATGGGTGAAAATATTATTCGATTATGTGATTATTGCTATCTAATTAATTTAATTTTTAAAATAAATGCTTTACTCAATGAGACTTACGGTTCAAATTATTAAAATAAATTTGAATTAAGGCCACAATGAGCAAATTATGACTAAGCAAATTGTTCATTTATTTTCTTTAAATAAAATTGATTAAAAATAATATTTTAATTATTATTATACTAAATATAAATGTACACAAAAATATTTAAAATATAATTTTTTTATTGCATTTAACCATTAACATGTCAATTTTATTTATAAAAAAATAAGTATATTATTTAGATTAAAAATAAATCTAAAAATTTGAATTTAAATTGAGGAAATAAAAAAACTCAGGTTATTTTGTTAAAAGGTTTGAATCTTAGAATTTATTTATAAATTTTAGAATACCATAAAAAGTAGAGTGGTAACCATCCAGAAGAGTATCGTTTGGTGTTTTTTCAGGAAGCAGAGGATCAGGGCGAACACCACTAGACTGGGACAACCGGTTGAGAATCGCCTTAACCACAGCAAAAGGTCTAGCCCACCTACACGTGTCATCCAAAATTGTCCACGGCAACATCAAAGCATCCAACATCCTCCTCCGCCACGACCCCCCAGCCGCCGCCTCTGTTTCGGACTTCGGCCTCATCCCCCTCTTCGCCTCCTCCACGCAGCCTAGCCGCGCAGCCGGATACCGAGCCCCTGAGCTCCTCGACACCCGAAAACCCACCTTCAAGTCCGACGTGTACAGCTTCGGAGTCCTACTCCTCGAGCTTTTGACTGGAAAATCGCCGATCCAGGCTTCGCTCGGCGAGGAAGGGATCGACTTGCCGAGGTGGGTCCAGTCGGTGGTGAGGGAGGAATGGACGGCGGAGGTTTTTGATGTGGAGTTGATGAGGTATCATGATGTGGAGGAAGAGATGGTTCAGACGCTGCAGATTGCGATGGGGTGTGTGTCGACTGTACCGGATCAGAGACCCTTGATGAATGATGTGGTCCGTATGATTGAGGATATGATGAGTAGAGATGATGGGTTACGACAGTCGTCTGATGACCCGTTTAGGGGATCGGACGGTTATACTCCTCCGCAGGGGTCCAGGACCCCACCTCCTCCTGCTCTCACACCTTAGACTCACACAGACACTTGTCTGAAAATTCAAAGGGGGCATATTTGGAAATGGCTATATATTAATCATGTGATTCATTCATTTTGCTGATTCTTGCGTGTAAATCACTTTTGAAAAAAAATTAAATGAATTCAATAATTATAATTATGTTATTTCATTATATATATATTTTTTTTGGAAAAATAAGTGATTTAGTTTTATAATTGAACTCATCGTTATTTATTTTTTATTTTTTTCATATGCTATAAATAGACAAGAATTTGCAAAAATGATTTGATTAAATCATTAAAGAGAAAATTATGATAGGCCTGTCCATTACAGTTTTGGACAGTAGTAGAGACTTCTTTTTTTGTGGTGAAGTTAGGGTGGGTATTATGGGGTGATTTGGAAATATGGATTAAAGATTAAAAGTTAATTTTTAACTCATTTTGAATTTTATTATCTCTCATATAAAATAATAAAAAAAATTTAAAAAGTTAAAAAATCAATTTTTAATTAGCTTTTCAAAACATTCTTATGTGTTATTTTCATTTTATTTTTTGTTTTTTTAATTGTGCAATGATTTTATTTTTTTGTTGTTTTAATTGTGCAATGATTTTTATAGATGTGTTTGCCTGGAATTTATACTATATATTAAGCAAAATGGAGTTTTTAACTCTAAATTTTGTGGGAGTTTTAATATTTCAATCTGAATTTTTAAAATTTTTTATTAAAAAAAAAACTCAGCATTTATTGATTTAATCAAAATCTCCTGATCAGCATTTATTAACTTTTTTCAATCTATATGTCTTTTCACATGCTTGTATTTATTAATTTAGTCAAAATTCTCTAATCACCATTTAAAATCCCCTCATACAAATAATTATAGATACAATCTCTGTATAGTTACTACAGTACCTTTTTCAACTTCTCTCATATACTATGGTTAGTGATAAGATTGTTAAATTATTTTTATAAAAAATCTTTAAAAACATAATTTATATATTAAAAAAATCTAAAATAAATATAAATATTTATAATTATCTCGTGCATAGCACAGCTGATAGACTATTTATTTTTTTATTGGGAAGGGGGAGTTCCATCAATTGATTGGAATTGACTATTATGGCTTATTTTGGCAACATAGTTTTTAGCCATTTTTTTTTATTAGTAGCAAAAGCTAAAAGTTGGCTTTTTTGGCTTTTTTTTTTTCATTTGGGAAGTTGGTTTTTAGCCAACGGTGAAATTACAATTTTATCCCTCATGGGTCAAAATGTGTTACATAGGTGAAGTTGTAAATATTTTAAATAAATGGGGGTAGTTTAGTCATTTTATTATGATTTGACATCATAAACAAATATTAATCAAAAAAGTCAAAAGTCACTTTTTACCAACTTCCCAAATCATTTGTCTAAAAAAACTAAAAACTTGGTTAAAAACCAAAAAACTACTTTTTACCATCTACCCAAAATAAGCCTATGTGGATTTTAGTTGGTTTTTTTTTAATGTTTGGTTGAGTCAGAAAAGAATACATGGGTTCTTGCATTTGGCTTTTTCTTGTTTAGTCCTTTTGTAGTATTATTATGTTGTTTTCTTTGACCTTTTCAGAATAAAAATAAGCAAAATCCAAACAGAACCTAACTGGGAGGTGTGAAAATTTGTCTTGAAATTCCAGAGGATTGTTTCCATTCTGCTAGGCGTCCATATATGCTTGGTGACTTGGCTAAAAAACAAAGGAGAGTGATGAATCGTGTAGGTGCGAGCTCATGGTAATATAATGTTTTAAGATTTTAGATGGCGCCAAGTATCATATGGAATGTCTGGTGAAAGAATTGGCTGTTTTAGAAAGTTGGTAAAAAGTTAATGTTTTGTTTTTTAATTTATTTTATTTTTTTTATGAATAAATTATGTAAAAAATAATGTGATTCAAAATTGATGTGTAAAAAAATTATGGATGTGTACTATTATATTAAAAAAAAATATTTGGTGTGATCTATTAAACTAATACAATAATATCATATAAGATGATAAATATTTTAGTAGTTTTGGAGTAATAATTTACGCAATTTATCATTTAATACTCATTAAATTATCTGTTCAACACTCAAAAAAAATAAAAATATTAAGTCCTACTTTTTTTAATTAATAAATATTAAGGTAGAACAAAACATAAAGGGTGGTTTTGGAAAATTGGTTAAAAGTTGATATTTTGATTTTTTATAGTTTTTTTGTGAAAAAAAAATGTATAAAAAAATAGAAAGAGTAATATGACTCAAAATAAATTAAGGGTTCGTTTGACAATTACTTTTTTAGTTGGCTTTTTAGTTTTTTTAGTCTGAAACTTTTTTGTTTGTTTGGTTTTCTTGTTTGGCCTTTTTGATTTTTTGGCATTGAAATGACAAAATTACCCTCCACTTGGAAATGATACTTTTTTTACTTTTTGTTTATGTATGAGTCAGTTTGATAATTTTACATTCCAGTTCAAGTGTTTTGACATTTTATAATTTTGTAACTTTTTTTTTCCATATATAATTATTTAACCTATAACAAATATCAAATCAGGGATTAAAGGGGCTGTTTGGGAAGAAAAAAAATAGTCTAATTTAGGCTAAAATTCACAAAAAGACAAAATAGGTTACAATAGCTAATAAGACAAAATATCACATCAAAGCCATAATTATTTCACTTTTTCTCTCATAAACATCACATCCAACCATAAAAAAATCTAATCATCTTTCTAAACAAAAAAAATTTAGCCTACTAAAATAGCCAAAAACTAAAATAGCCTACTAAAATAGTAACTTCCAAACGAAGCCAAACTTTTGATTTTTCACTTTTCCCAAAAAGCCCAAAATTATACCAGAAGCACCAAATAATTTTTCCAGTGAAGGGGTGGAGTGGAGTGGAGTGGGTGTGTGGAGAACAGGCTGGCCGGCTTTGCCTCGGTCTCTCTTTTCTTTATCATCACGTGACAAAAAGTAACAAAACTGAGAAACAAATAGAGAGAGAAAGTGATAGAGGAGACGGTGACTTTTTGGCTCCTCCGTATACGGGAAAGGGTGCGCTCTGTCAGCCGTTTGATCCACGCCACCTGGACCCCATTTCCCCTGATTTGTGGAATTGATTATTAAGCCATTCGTGCCACCACGTGTCCTTCACCGATAAGTTATTTTTGTAAAACAATCATCTTATGTTTTAGAAATTCTACATTGACTGTGTCAAATCAATAAAAAATGTTAAATGAATATGTTACGTTAATAATAATGAGATGGTAGAGAAATTACTCTTTCTGTTTCAAAATAGAGAAAAGCTAGGGTTCATGAAAAAATTTTCATGAAAATGATTATGAAAGAATTATGACTCTTGAATTACCTTGATTAGTGTGTGGTGATTTATTTTAAGTATAATCCAAGGGTCATAAATCTTTCATGATCATTTTCATGAAAGTTTTTTCATGATACCTAGTATTGCTCTTCAAAATAATATTTTCTTTTGAGGAGTTTAATTTTTTTTATAGTATAATTATTACATTTTAAAAAAATTAATTTTTTAAAATTATCTTTTTATAGTATATTTTTTAAGAAATATTAATTATCATAATTATATTTTTTGTATTACTAATAAATTTAAAAGAAGGACAAAATTAAAAATTCACAATATTTTAGTTCTTAATTTTTAAAAATGGGCTTGGTTTTCCTCCAATCCCAGATCTGACTAGAGGTTGTTTATTGTGTATAACGCATCGAGTACTATATGCTTGTAAAAAAATCACGTTGATCAGATAGCGATAACTATCTCATCAGATCAGTTTTCTGTCAACTATTTATTTTTTTACCGTCTATTAACGGTTGACAGAAAATTGGTCCGATGAGATAGTTATCGATATCCAATGAACGTGATTTTTTACATACATATAATACTCGATGAGTTCTATACATTGAACGATTCGGATTATCGAAATGGAACCTTTGGTGGGCTCCCACGGGCCCAACAACAGCCTTCAGTCCAATCTGGGACTAGAGGGAAGCCACTGTCTTTGAAAATTGACTAATATTTTGGGACAATAAAAAATGAAATAAGAAACTAATATTTTGGAACAAAGAGAGTATAACATTTCATTGATTGGGTACATGAATATGTGATCTTCTTTATCTATTAGATAATGTCTACCAAGAATGACTATAGGTTGTCTCTTAAGGCCATGTTTGATTCACAACACTAATAGTGAGGTATTAATAATCCTATTAAATTAGTGTCTCCCACGGGCCCAACAACAGCCTTCAGTCCAATCTGGGACTAGAGGGAAGCCACTGTCTTTGAAAATTGACTAATATTTTGGGACAATAAAAAATGAAATAAGAAACTAATATTTTAGAACAAAGTGAGTATAACATTTCATTGATTGGGTATATGAATATGTGATCTTCTTTATCTATTAGATAATGTCTGCCAAGAATGACTATAGGTTGTCAAGAATGACTATAGGTTGTCTCTTAAGAGCATTGTGATTGTGATTATGATATGTGGAAAGAATGAGACTCACGATTCGTGTTGGTTGATAAAGGAACAACAGGGGCATGACACATGTTGAGAATGAGAGAATAATACGGACATTTTGTAATCCCAATCCCAAGTATGGCTAAGTAGGTTTAGAAGTATTGTAATTGGTAAATGGAATAAAAGTCACGATTTTGTGTTAGATGATAATGAAACAGCATGGGCAGGACACATATTGGGTGATAAAAAAGTAACAGGGGCATGACATTTTAGGAGTATTACCATGTGATGTCCAAAAAAAACATTTGGTAAGAGTATTGCCACATGTCCCCCAAAATCATTTGATAATTTTTCTACAAAAAGGTGGTGGACATTATTTCTTTCATCAATCACAACACTCTAATTATTTAAGTTCTGTTTAATTTGAATTTCATAATGTGTTTTTAGATATTTTTTTTAAATAAAAATTAACTTGATGAAAAAAATACTTATAAGTTTTATAATTTTAGAAGGCAAAAATAAATTTCAAAAAAATATTTTTAACATTTATTTTTATCAAATTGATATTTATTTAAAAAATTTAGAAAATCAAAGCAGGCCGTAGTTATCTTAATACAATGACCTATGA